GAGGGATGGAGGAGGAGGAGGAGGAGGAGGAGGAGGAGGAGGAGGAGGAACAGGCGGATGAGGAGGGAGAGGACGCGGAGGAGGAACAGGAAGAGGAGGAGAGGGGTGGCAGAAGGGCCAGAGGCCTCTCGAAGTCTCTTGGGGTGCATTTGGGAGCTTCTTGGAGGACTCTTGGAGTTTCTTGGGGGCCTCTTGGCGGTCTCTGGGGGGGCTCTGGAAAGGTACGCGCGGGCAGCTTGCGCCCCGTCCGCCCCCCCGCTGGGCCCAAGAGGAGGGTCCAGGACGCCTCTTGGAGCCATCTTCTTGGAGGACATCGATCAAAGACGGGGGGTCCCTCAATTAGCTCCGAGCCCCCCAACACGTTCTTGGGGCGCTCTTGAGCGCTCTCGGGACCGCCTCGGGGCTCTCTTGGGGCTCTCTTGGGACTCGCTTGGGGCTCTCTTGGGCCATCTTTGGAGTGTCTTAAGGCCTCGGATGGCCATCTGAAGCGAAAAGGCGAGAAAGCAAGCAACATTGATTTTTCTTAAATTTTTGAAGCATTTTTGCCTCTTGGGGGCATCCTTGGGGAAGTCTTGTAGCAACTTGGAGCCGTCTTGACGGCAGAATGCACGCCCCAGAGCGGGCTTGGGCCGTCTCGGGATCGTCCTGGAAGCGGTCCGGAGGCCGCTTGGGCCGCGTGAGACGTCGGGTGGAGGCGCCCAGATCGGAAAATTTGGAATCCACGACGCTGAGATCGCCCAAGGCCGAATTTGTGTGCGGGGGGGGGGTCCCCGGATAAGAATATTCGAAGAGGAATATACAAGACTGCATAATTAGGCGCTTCGCGCCATGCACCTTGGTCCTTGAGGCTTTGCTTGTGTCGGTCGTTCGCGCCATCCCTAGTGGCCTTGGAAATTTAGCCCCTTCCCTTCCCTGCGGTGGTTTTCGGAAGTCTTCGAAAAATCGGGCGGTCCGTGGCCCTTCCCGGGCCTCCGGGGGCTTCCATTAGGTGCCAGGTGGAGGGCGAAGGATAGGAGGGAGGGAATCTCGGCAAGCGAGGAGAGGGAAGCGGATGCTGGGAAGAACGAGTGGTGGAGCGGCAGAAAGAGGAGGAGGAGGAGGAGGAGGAGGAGGAGGAGGAGGAGGAGGAGGAGGACCCAGCCGCCACCGGGGGGTTCATGTGTACGTACACGCTTGCAGAAATGTCTGGCAATAAATGCCGACATAAGGCCTTCGTGAGCCCGCACATTGGCCGGCTCGTGGCTCAGGTGCCCCAGTGCGCAATGCGAAGGAATGGCAAGCCATGCGAATGAATGCCAATCAAACCGACGCAATGTCAAGCAATGCCGCAAAGCACAAAGCAATGCCAAGCCGAGGATGTCAGATGCAGCGGGTCGCAACGGGGCACGCGAAAAGACGTAATTATTGGGGAATGCACCGAATCCTGGGTTAGCAACAAATTTCGTGGAAATGTGGTTGCGAACTGGGGATTCGTATCAGTTTGGTGAAACGCGCCGTGTGGAAATGTGTGGAACACGCCATGTGGGCGTTGTTGGAGCCCTGGTGGACTGGCTCGGGGCCCTCTCGAGCCGTCCATGGGCCATCTTAGGCCGTGTTGGGGAGCTTGGGCCCTCTAGGGACCTTACGGGGGCCACGTGGGCCCTCCTTGTGTCCTCCCATGGCCTTTTCGGGGGCCTCCCATGGCTTTCTTGGTTGGGCTTCTCTTGGGGGCCTTGTGAGGGCCTGTTGGGCTTCTTTTTGGCCCATTTGGAGCTTCATCGGACAGTCTTGGGGCCGTCTGGAGGCTCTCTTGGGGGTCTCATGGGGTCTCTTGGGCGCGATACCAGAAGCCTTTTTGGCTGTTTTGGACGCTGCTAAGACCCGAACATCGAATATGCTGAATATGCATGCTTCCCTAAGGGAATGAGGCGATTTTTGCGGCGTTCTGGGAGTCCTGTTGAGGGCCTCCTGGGACGCCTTGGGGGCCTCTGGATGCCATCTGGGTCCTTCTTGGAGCGCTCTTGTGCTGTCTTGGGTCTCTCTTCGGCCTCTCTGATCGCCGCTCTGACCGCTCGGGGTCTGCTGGCAAGACCCGACTAAGCGCCCTGGAAGATCCGGGACGAGCCGGGGGACCTTCGGCAGCGGTGTCTGGGGGACCCGGAAACCCCAGATCCTGGGTGTCCGGTTTGGGGGGGGTCCCCCCCCTGGCTTGCAAAAATATAAGAAGAGGAGTGTATATATGTATAGATATATGCATGTCTGTCTGTCTGTCTGTCTGTCTGTCTGTCTGTCTGTCTGTCTGTCTGTCTGTCTGTCTGTCTGTCTGTCTGTCTGTCTGTCTGTACGTACGTACGTATGTATGTATGTATGTATGTATGTATGTATGCATGTATGTGTATATATGTATATATATATATGTTTACAGAGAGGGAGATATAGGGAGAGGGAGAGAGAGAGAGAGAGAGAGATGAGAGATGAGAGAGATGATATATATTACATATATTATATATGTGTATACGAGAGAGATGAGAGATGATACATGTAGATATGATTTGAGGGAGTTTCTGTGGAACTCACGTCATCCTCACCCCCGGCGCGAAGAGCACGAGTCCAGAGCGGCCTCCGGCACCGTTTCCGGACGGATCCGGACGGATCCGCTGGATCCGGGGACGAATCCCAAACCGGCGCCCTCGCCTGAGACATCCCCGCAAAACCGGCCCCGGGGGAGGTGCCCAGAGGAGCCCAGAGCGGCCTCTGGCACCGTTTCCGGACGGATCCGGACGGATCCGCTGGATCCGGGGACGAATCCCAAACCGGCGCCCTCGCCTGAGACATCCCCGCAAAACCGGCCCCGGGGGAGGTGCCCAGAGGAGCCCAGAGCGGCCTCCGGCACCGTTTCCGGACGGATCCGGACGGATCCGCTGGATCCGGGGACGAATCCCAAACCGGCGCCCTCGCCTCAGACATCCCCGGAAAACCGGCCCCGGGGGAGGTGCCCAGAGGAGCCCAGAGCGGCCTCCGGCACCGTTTCCGGACGGATCCGGACGGATCCGCTGGATCCGGGGACGAATCCCAAACCGGCGCCCTCGCCTGAGACATCCCCGCAAAACCGGCCCCGGGGGAGGTGCCCACAGGAGCCCAGAGCGGCCTCCGGCACCGTTTCCGGACGGATCCGGACGGATCCGCTGGATCCGGGGACGAATCCCAAACCGGCGCCCTCGCCTGAGACATCCCCGCAAATCCGGCCCCGGGGGAGGTGGCCAGAGAAGCCCAGAGCGGCTTCCGGCACCGTTTCCGGACGGATCCGGACGGATCCGCTGGATCCGGGGGCGAATCCCAAACCGGCGCCCTCGCCTGAGACATCCCCGCAAAACCGGCCCCGGGGGAGGTGCCCACAGGAGCCCAGAGCGGCCTCCGGCACCGTTTCCGGACGGATCCGGACGGATCCGCTGGATCCGGGGACGAATCCCAAACCGGCGCCCTCGCTTGAGACATCCTCACAAAACCGGCCCCGGGGGAGGTGCCCAGAGGAGCCCAGAGCGGCCTCCGGCACCGTTTCCGGACAGATCCGGACAGATCCGGTGGATCCGCGCCCCGGGGGAGGTGCCCAGAGGAGGAATGAGGAGGAGGAGGAGGAGGAGGAGGAGGAGGAGGAGGAGGAGGAGGAGGAGGAGAAGATGATGGAGCTGCGGGGTGGAGGAGGACAGACGGAGGCAAGAGAAGGATGGAGGAGGAGGAGGAGGAGGAGGAGGAGGAGGAGGAGGAGGAGGAACCTCATCCTCACCCTCGCCAACAAGCGCACGCACCTTCTTCTATATACAGAAACTCCCGATCAACCGCAGAGCGGCCGGCTAGTAAAGAAAGCGATTGAGAGAGAGAGGGAGAGAAAGAGATGACATATATGATATATATATATACACACATCTATATACACATATATGTATATATAAAGAAAAGAGAGAGAGAGTATCATACAAAGAAGGAGAAAGAGAGAGAGAGAGAGAGAGACAGGCATACAGGCAGACACACAGACAGAGAGGGAGAGAGGGAGAGAGGGAGAGAGGGAGACAGAGAGGGAGAGAGGGAGAGAGGGAGAGCTGGCGGCGCGCACGCAAGGGGTGGGGGCGCCTGCGGAGGGGGCGGTGCTGTCGGAAGGTACGGGCCCTCCTCAGAACTGCCCGGAGGCTCCCAGGAAGGCCGCTTCCAGGCCAGAGGGGGGATCCCAAGAGAACCCCTGCCCTCTCAGGAAGCCCCCCTCCCCCCCTGCCCTCCGTGAAGGGCCGTCCCCCTCGCGCCATCCGACGGGTGCGCGCCGCCAGGAGAGAAGGAGAGAGAGGGAGAGAGAAAGAGAGACGATGGGCCAATTTTCCACCACCACTACCATAGACAGAACGGGGGAGACGGGAGGATGGGGAGGTCCTCCTTCCCCTCCTCCTCCTCCTCTTCCTCCTCCTCCTCCGCCTCCTCCTCCTACCTACCTATGTTAGTGGTGGTAATCGGCCCATCGAGAGAGAGAGAGAGAAAGAGAGAGCATGAACATGGAGCAGGAGCGTTGCCTGTAAACGCGACGCCTGCATCGGCGGGGGTTAAGGTGCCTGGGAAGACAGGCCGCCATCAGGCCGCCGGCACCATCAGGGGTGAGACACGGCACGCGGGACAAGCTCGTGTTGGCTTGTGTGTGTGGTGGGGGGCGCTCTTGACAACGCGCAACTGCCAGAGCACATCCCGAATTTGAAAAACCTCCATGAACCGACGAAAATAAGAAATAACGGCATAAACATCAACTGTTCGAGCTCCGTGCGTATTTCTTGGTTCGGCGCTCGCCCCCCCTCCCTGGCGCGCGGAGCGCGCCTGTGGCGGCGCCTCCGGCGGCGCCAGGGGGGCCCAGCGCCGATCCGAGAAATCCGCGCGGATCTCCGAAAGTTTGCGATTATTGAACTGTTACTTCTTCATACCGACAAAAATGCTCGACTCGCTCCGACCGCACCGACGACGGCGCCAGAGGACCGGCCCAAGCGCACTCACAGCGGCGAGACGCTGGGGAAGTCCCCGCTGGGCGGCTGCCTCTTGTGCGTCGTCGTTGAGGGGGGTCGGGAGCGGCGCGGCTGCTGTCCGAGCCTCCTGCTCCCGATCCTGCTACCGATCCTTCTCCCGCTCCTCCTGCTCATCGAGATTTCCCCTCGTTGGGTCCTCCTTTTCCATTATTGTTCCTTGTGTGCAGCTCTTCCCTGTCGCAGCCCCAGGCATGTCGGTAGGGCGGGCCGGGCGTTTCCCACTGCTGCACATCCTGAGACAACTCGTGCGGTTCCTTGCCTGTGTCTGCGGGTACTGACCCACCCGTCGGAAATCCGCCGATCCCGTGCGTGAGTTTAAGAAGACTAAGCTTCAATTGCGCTTAGGCCTGAGCTTCAGCTCTGCTTAGGAAGGGGCTCTAAGGGGAGGGGGCTGAAAAACGGAATGCGGGATTCACAGCTTTTGCAAAGGGATCCTCTGTAGACGCGTTGGAGGGATGGCGGCCTCCTGGGCTGGATGATTTGCACTTTTTGCATGTAGACAGTCTGAAAGATGGGCTGGACGTCGGCCGAAATTTGCAGCTTCTACAGAGGGGGCCCTCTGTAGATACTGTAGAAAGGCCCACTGGGCCGGATGCGTGGCCCGAGTCCCAGCAGCCCTCTGGGCGTAGGTGGTCTAGAGTAGTTTCTCTTCCAACCCCCTTCTTCACCGTCGGGGAAGGCCACGGGGAACAGAGGCCGCCCCCCCCGCCCCGAGGCAGGATCTGAGAAGCCCGGCCGCCAAAGCCGGGGAGAGTGGAGGACGAAACCGATATGCCTCGCGCCTACAGGGCTCACGACCACATCGCCTCCCGTGGACCTGGGGGGGGGGATGCGCGAGGTGCTGGAGCGTCCAAAATGGCCCAACATAGTTCCAAGAGGGCCTCAGAGTGCCCAAAATGACCTCCAATATGGCTCCAGATAGCCTAAATTGGCTCCAGATGGCTCCCAGGATGCTCTTAGAGTCTTAGAGGCCCCAAGGCCGCTCCAAGACGGCTCCGAGTGGCCACGGAGCCTCCCCAGGAGGCCGCCAAGAGGCCAACATCCGTCAAACAGTTGAGGGAAAATCAATGATTGTTGCCTTCTCGACTTTTCGCTTCCGATGGCCTTCCGAAGCCTCAAGGTAGCTCCAAGAGGGCCCAAGAGAGGCCCAAGGGAGCCCCAGAACGACCTCAATAGCGCCCAGAAGCGCACCAAGAGCGCTCCAAGAGGGGCCCAAGAGGCGATGTTGGGGGCTTCTGAGGGGGGCTAATTAACCCCCCCTTCTTTGCTCGAGCTTTTCCAAGATAGCCCAAGAGAGCACCCAAGGCTCCAAGAGCGCCTCAAGAAGGGCCCCGAGATGCGCCCAGGAGGCCCCGAAAGGCGCCCACAAGGCCTCCAAGAGGCTCCCAAGAGACCCCAAGCGGCCCCAAGAGGCTCCCCGAGGCACCCGAGGCACCCGAGAGCGCTCCAAGAAGGACCCTTCCTTTGTGTGCTTCCAACTTCCCTGATCGAGGCAACTCCTCTACGCATCGTTTCTGGATGGTCTGGTGGGAAGCGAAGCGTCA